AAATGTTTACTTATAATTTACAATTTATAAACTACCAAATAAATAAACATTCATTAAATTATTATCAACTTTATCTTAACATCAAATTAATCACTGCTAAATTACCCTCAATTGTTTTATGATTATTAAAAACTTAAAATCAAAAGGATTAAAAAAATGCATGTAGTTTACTACAAGAAAACTTAATATCTTATATTTTAATATTATACAGTTAGAATTTAGATCAAAATCTTGCTCAATTTTTATTCTAAATTATGAGCATTTATTCTGTTAATATGATTTTGAAATAAAAATAATAAAATTTGATTATTTAAATATTTTAATTCTCATAATTATCTAAATTTTCTTATTTATATCTCCTTTGATGTATTATCCCAAGTGATCAAATACTCTCCATCATGACTTAATTATCCAAAAATAAGATAAGTACTAAATTCAATAGATTATTAAATGATAAAGTCATCATTTTCTTTCTTCCTCATTAAATTAACATTACTGCCATTCTTATTCACTAGAATACATTTAGACTTTAAGTATTATTATGGAAAGAAAATATTTTCATCTCTTAAACCACACTTTACAGCAATTTGCTTAGTCTTGCTATACTATTTAGTATTAATATCCATCTCATATATATCAATATATTCTTAACATCTTGGTTAGAATATAAATTAATTATCACTAATAAAACATAATCTTAGACCCCATTTATCTACTATTATCTTTTATGTAACATTCCATTTATTATCCAACTTTTATTATTCTATTACTAATATTTATGAATCCCATGAACAAGATATCAATTTATTTTATTGATCATTTAAGCTTAATGAATATACATAACTAGTATGATCTGTTATGGTTTATTAACACATCCATTTATCCTATTTCATCCAAAATTTTATTGTTTTATCATTACTACCTGAGATAATTAGATCATCAGTATTATTTAATTATAAACAATATATAAAATGTGAATGTCCATTCAATATTTATTAACATTTCCATTAACTATTTCCTATCTCTTACCATATTATAATTGACTTATCATCACTTCCAGATACAAAATTATTTGTATTTTTCATGAAATTCAAAGTATTTACATAATCTTTATGTTCACTTAGTATTTGTATTTAATCCAGTTTCCCTTATATATTTTGAAATACTTTAATATTCTTATGACATCCAGCTATCACCATTGAGCAATCATTATTAAAAGCAATAGCATAACACCTTTCATTTTACTTAATTGAATTTTAATTCATGATTTCAAAGGTGAATGGGTTTAGATTTGGCTTTAATTCAGGTTGATGTTTTGGTTATTAGAAAATCAAGTTTGGATTTTATACATTATCATCTTACTTTACATTTGTTTGATTCTTTATCTTTTTAAGAATTTCATTTACAGTTGATTTTATTTATTCAATTGATTCTTTCATTTATTTAAATAACTATTTTTCGCAATCTTATAAACATAAACCTTTTATTAATTAGTCAATCTGTGATACTCCTAATTCTGGGAATTATGAAACAGCTAAGTTATTATAAGGAATGAACAAATTAATTAAACGATCAAGGGCAATTTTACACTCATAAACACTATTTTAAATGATCTGAACTTAAAGAATTCTTTCCTTAATCCATTCAGATAAAAGTTCGAAAGATGTTAACTTTTCAAGATGTTGATTATGGCGAGGCAAACAAAAATTACAATAGGGTCTTTAATTTGGGCATACACTATCTATGCAAATCCCTAGTATTTATTGATTTCGATGATCAGCTTAAGTACATCGAATCTACATTTCCTATTTCTATTAAAATTGATAATTATATTTAAGAAATATTTTTGGTTGAATTACATTCTGGAATAAATCGACATTATAGAAATTCAAAATTCATTTATAAGAAATTAAATTGATACCTAAAGAATATTTATATACTATACACTCAAAAATTGAAAATTTAGATCGTTAAAATAACAACCAATCCTTAAGTATTGCATAATATTTTCACATTTTGCTTTTAATCATCTGAAGTAAAGAATTTGATTTGAAGAATATTTTTGATCTAGTTTTGATATTAAATTAAACTTATTTCAGATTAATTAACTTAATTATAATATATGTTATTGAAACCTTTTTTCTAAGAGATGAAAAAAATTATCAATAAAAATAATTTTACTAGTTAATTTAAATCATTTAGAATCGCTATTCTTATGCAAACAGATAAAAATAAATAGATAAAAGAATAATTTTTCGTCATTACCTTCTTTTCATTGATCAATATAATTGATTAAGAGAATTAAGTCTTAAATAACATTATTATTCAAGATAATAAATAGAACAATAATATCTGTTAAGAAAATAGAAGAGAATTGAATACTAAGCACTTTAAGTATTTATTTAAGAAATTATTATTGTATTTGATATCATCATCGATTTAAAAAGTAAGCTTATGTACAAATATATGGTAAGAGGTTCTCTTTTCTAATTTTAGAAACTAAAACTTTACATAATCTGAGATAACTACATATTTGGTTAACTATTTTTTTCTTTAATTGATAAAATTTAACTATAATTTTAAGGAAAGATTCTTAACTATAATTGTTGATTAAAGGAAAAATTGCTTGCTATTGGTAACATCAAGATATAATAACCTCAAAGAAGAGATTAATAAAAACTTCATGCTTCTAATATATGTATTTAATTAGTAATAATATGGATAAAACTCAAGAGATTAATTATCTCTTAATTTAGCAATAAATATCATATTGAATAAAATTTCGATTTTCAAGGGATTTACTGATAAACTCTATAATTAAAGAAAAGATATATATAGATATTATCATTGCAACAATCTATTCTCATTAAGATTATTACAATTGATGAGGCTAATGAAGTTCATTCTTGTGAAGATGAAAGTCATTAATTGACAAAGTATTTAAATTTTAATCAAAAGAGGTAATTTCATATCAATCAAACTATTTCCCCAATTTCAGAAATAATTGAACGAAAAAAACTAAAATGGAAATGTAATAAAACAAAATTTTAATATTAAGTGCATAATTAATAGACCCATTAGCTGATCATTATTGCTCTGATCTAAACTTTTTTTAACCTTAATTTTATATATTTATTTTAGAATCCTAATTTAATTTAATCATACTAGTTCTATTTAAGCCAGATAAACTAAGAATTTGTTTGATTCTTAATATAAAGGAATTCCATAAATAACTATAACTGATGTTTTATTAAGATTCTTTTTTATAGATTCAGATATCTTCTCAACGTTTATCTTTTAATTACCATGAATTACTTTGTAAAAGTTTGAAGCTTATTAGAAGACAAAAATTTTGAACAAAGGGAATAGATTGCACTTAATAACCTAAATCATAAGAAAATATGTTTTCATCATTGTTGATCATATAAGTTATCAAGATTATTTTCTTAATCTAATTTACATAAAACTTCATTTTACATTATGTGTGTGATAAATATTAGGAAGAAGAGGATTTGCTGATAAAAATAGATAATTTGTAGAATCTCTTTATGATTAATTATTTGCAATAATGCTATTATAATAATAATAATTGTATAAGATTTAAAATATGAATTGCACTTATCATATAAGAAATCAAATATCATGTATATGTATAGCTCCTCACAAATGTTTATGAAAAGGAAACTGTGTGCTCAATGTCTTTAAGAACATGAAATCGATGTCAAACATGCAGTTCCAATTAATATATTTAAAAAAATGGTTTTGAATAAATTAAAAGAATATAAGCTTGATGAGACATCTGAATTAAACAAATAAAGAATGAATTTTAAATCTATGCTTTCTCAAACAGAAAGTATTCTGAAAAAAATTTGGGAAAAATTATAAGAATCAATTAAATAAATTTATGATATGATTGAGATGTAAAATAAATTATATTTGAATATCATAAATGAAAATACTNTAAATTGGTTATCAAGGAACTTTATGTTTTTGGAATAACACTTAAATATGCTAACCATTAACATCATGCTCATAACTATAATAATCTTAATGCACATAATGGAAAAATACTTGTTTCTGATCCCATAAGTATAAATTGAAAATGAATTTCTTCGAGTAGCGTTTAATATAAATATAGAAGGAATATAACTATTTAATGTTTAAGAACCACTTAATATATATGTCTTCGTAAATGTTTATAATATTTTAGATTTAATAAACAGGAATCAATCCTCTTTTTGAATTATCTAATTTAGGAAGAATACTATTTAACTTAATTCTAAAACATAGACAGTTTTTTATTGAAATCATTATAGCAACAAGCATTAGGAATAGTGGTGATAATATTCAGAACTCTTAAGCATATTTAAGCTAATAGCAAACTAAAACTAACTGTTATCCATAAATTTCATATTGTAAAACAAACTTTTATTGTAATTAAAATACTCAACTATAAAGAATTTTGCATAATCAATTTATCTATGACTGCATTTAAAAGCATTAAAATGTATAAATAATTTGAGTACTTAAATATTAATATAGTGAGTAATTATGATGTATAAGATAATCAACAATTTTGGTAATTTCAATTTATACTAAATATATCAATGAACTAATTTATTAATGATTCCATCTAATAATAATTGTTATAATTTACCCAAATCAGGGTTTTTACAATAAAATAACTTTTTGAATTTCAAAAGCGAAAATGCAAATATTGATTCAAAAATTTTATTATTATATAAAAAAATAATAATAAAAATTCGTTTTAATGGACTATTTACATTGATCATTACTTCAACTTCAATCATTAAAATTGAAAAAAAATCATATAAAAACAAATAAACTTATCCTATCGAATTAATCACATTAGTTTACTTGTTTTCAAAAAAAAAATCTAAATTTTTATTAAAATCTACAAACTCTTTTTATTTAAGTTATAGCTCTTTTTGATTTATTTCAGCTTTTTCATGATATTTTCAATATTTTTAAATCATCTTTCAATATAAATGAAAATAAGATGACCACATCAATTAGTATGAGAAAAAAAATTTATAAAAAAAAATGAGAGAGCAATATCTTAATTTCAAAAGAAATTTAATAAATTATACTAAATAAATTAAGATATTGGTTAACTAGCATTTTTCTTGATATTACTCAATCCTCATCAAATTGCATTCCACAACCTTTATTATTTCTTTATTTTCAAACTATTAAACCACTATTTATCCATTCTAATATTTACCACTATATGTGATTTAGAATTATAAGGACCCATTTCGTAAATTATCACAAAATTCAATCCACAATCCATTCTTTATTCCTACATTTTATTCATCATATGACCAACCTCCTCTATATGAATTTAGTGAAATAATCTTATACATCTATTCATTTAATTTTTGCAATCATCTCTATAAAAACAATCCCATTTACCAAGCATTTGACCATTTTTATATTCTCCAATATCTATGACTTATGATTGTATTACAAGCATTTAACTTATTTCAATCCATTTTCTATTTTTCAAGCCTTAATCATCTTCATCATACAATCCACCCCAACTAAACCTTTATTTGATAATATTTTACATCTGTTTATTTATTTCAAGATCATTACCATTTGTTAATGAATTCTTCCATATCCCAATTTTTTTCCCGTTATAATATTCTCCAATATACATGATTTATTGAAAATCCCAAAATACTTCATTCAACTCCTCCCATATTCCAATTTTTTCACCATTCAATTTATATTCTCCTCCACCACTAGATTAATTTTCACCTTAATAATATAAATACATTTTCCATCATATATATACCTCCAGATGCCTAATCTTTGATCATTCACATTTTCCCTAAAAAACATACTTAATTTTTGCTAATAAAGAATTTGATCTAAAATTATGTCCAATAATTGTAATTTGTTTCTTTCGATTTTCCTTATTTTAAACCATCAGTTGTGTATAATTTATTTCAGAAATAGATTTTAATTTATTTATATTATCCACCAACATCTGCTAAATTTTCGCCTTTCTAATGACTTTCCAATTACCTACCTAGTTTTTTTTTCTATTTCCAATCATTTGCAGATTTTTAACCTATTCTAAATTTTTAATTAGCTCAGGTTTCTAATAAGTGCTTTAAATCTTTTCTCTAAAATATATAAATAAGGAAATCAAAACATTCTCAGGATAGATCCATTATATATTTATTTTAGATCCTACTCATTTGTATGAAAATTAATAATTTAGTTCTTATTTTTGTATTTAGATAATTTGAATAATTCCAATCAAATCCATCAATTTCTAAACTATCTTCTTTTTTGGATTTTTGGTTTTGTTTCTTAATGAAGATTAATTGAGATTATCAAAATAATTTATATATTAATAAATAACAATATAGATTTTGTTTAAGTATATGCGAGGTTCAACAGCTAATTATTCATCCACTCTATTGCCAGATTTAAGTTACTTTAGAATTTGCAAAACATAAATGATGCACATGTTAAAATAAAATATACTCAACCTGATAAATAAAGAAATTTTATAAAATAATTATGATACAAAAATAATTTTTCTACTTCAAATCAGATTCCAATTAGCATAGAAAGCTGAAATTTTTATAATAGCTAACTTACTACTTGTTCCACCAGGTAAATTCACAATTTTTACCGTTTATATAATTTAATCTTAAAATGTAATTTTTACCATCCCAATCAAATTTAATCCTTAAAATAACTCTGTTTCTTGATTGTATTAATCAATAGCAATAATTTTAAAACAATGATTTCTACCATCAATATCATAAAGCCATACGATTATTTGATTAATCTCATAAGCTTATGAGAATTAAATGTCAATTGAAGTATCAGTGTACATATGCCCGTAAGTATTATTAACATAATATAATTAATATCTTAATGGACTTATATTTAAAGGGGGACCAACAAATATATTATACCTTGCACTTTTTATGAATGCTCCATTAAATTCAGAAGCTACATCTTAATAATGTCCTCTTAAATTAAATTTGTTTATTAATTATGGAAAGCCCCAAAATTTGCAATTTGAAATTGAATTTGCCAAGAATGAAAATGTTTGAAAGAATATAATTAAAAATATAAGCATTATTTTTATTATTTTTTAGAAATTAAAATTTATTTGCTTGAAATGCTCTATTTATTTTTTGCTTTGCTAAGAGCAATTTGGCTCTATAAAACATTTAATTCTTAAGCTTTTTTTAATATCAATAGTCTATTATATTTTTGATAATGGTTATGATGTAGAGATTATGCTTTAAACAGTTAAATTTTTCTTTTAATAATTTATTTTATTACTATTAAATCTCACAAAAGATCAGAATAAAAATTGTTAACTTAAGACTCATATTTATTAATTTAAATCATGGATTAATTTTTATTAGTTTTAACTCAAAATTTATTTTAAAGAATTTATTGCGCAATATAAGAACAGTTAATTATTTATTATTAAAAATTATTTTCGTATTATAGTAATAAAGAGTTTATGATAGGTTTTCAATAATAGTTTTCATTTTAACTTGATAAGTATAACTATTAGAAGTTTGTTTACACTTGAAGTAATTCATAAGCATTTTTACTTGATAAAATTTTGAAAATTGCTTTATTGTTACAATCTTAGGCTACTTTAAAGTTACTTTGTTATAAAGTAGGTAATATTAAGTCAGCTATTTTTTAAATCCCAAAGAAAAAATTCCACTTTAAATATTTATTCTGCAGCTATAAACAGCTCAGTTCTTCCTTTCTGATGATAGAATAAGTAATATTGACAGTTTTTTGTAATAAGTCATAAAAATTAAATGATTTATAAGTAAAGAAAGTGGCTCATCAATTTTTTTAATTCCTCCCTCAACATCTAGTCTCTATAGAAAATAAACTTCTCTGAAAAAATAGTCATTATGTACTAAAAGAATGTTTGAGAAAATAAGTAATTTTGAATTTGGCTTAACCAATGTTTGGCTTCTAGTTAAGCTTAAAGTAAATAGAAAACAAATAGAGGAAGAAAGGAAATAATGATAATGAAAATTTTTATTTAATTGATTGTGTCAAATTATGTATGAAAGAAATCAATCAATAAAATTGACTCATACGATTTTCACCTCATAGAATTTTACCATGATTTATTTCCTAATTATTATTTTGACCTATATAATTTATAAAATATTAAAAAGATAATCCAAAGTTATCTAATTAGAATATGACTATTTTGTGTTTTTTGTTATTTATTAATTTTCTGATTGATTCAAGAATTTATTAAACTTCACCTCTAACACTTTGTCTTTTTTATCAAAGTTTTATTATTTTTTTGAAGGCGATATTAAATATCTATTCATTAAGGAAAAAAACATGAAGATATTATCAGATTTTTACAATTTAGAGAGGCATTCAAAGGCTCAAAACACAAGTTAGCACAATTTTAATGACTACATGAACGAAGTTTTTCATCCTCAATAAATTTTGTTCCGATTGAACGCTAATTTAGATTATTATTCAATCTCAAATTGTAGATAAACTGTTGAGATAGATATTATAAGGATATATTTAAAAATATTGAGATTGAGTTATGAACAATAAAGATCTTGAAAGCTTGATATAAATAGTATTTTTATTTGAAATGGATAAAGAGGCATAGATTGGATATGATTTAAAATAAATCTTGGTTTTTTTTTAAGTCTCCAAATATCACAGTTTAATTTGAATAAAAGCAATTACAAATCATTTACGATATATAATTGATCTAATGAATTTGGTCAATAATCTTGAAAGTCAACTGAAAATTAAAAGAATTTTTTAAGATTGGTTGATTCGAGAATAACTATAATTTTTATGACAATTTGATGATATTTAAGTATAAAGATGATTAATTAATTATTATTATTATTTTTATTTTTTAGATACAAATGGAATTATATAAGTGTAGATACCTAAATCATGAAAACGAAGAAATAATTGGATTTTGCTTGAATAAGAATTGTGAAAATGCAACATAATATTGTTATGAATGTTTAACTACAACTCATTCAAATCATTTGAATGATTGCATTCGATTTTCTAAAATGAACTAATATATAAATGAATTCATACAACTTTAAAATCAATAAAGTAAATAGTACAAAGACATATCGAAATAACTTTAGTCTTATTTTGAATAGATTTTTAAAATAATGGAACAAGATATTACAATATTAGATAAGATGAAACAACAACTTTAAAACAAAGAGTATTTGACATTTAAGACAAAAATCAACATAATCAAAAGGTTTTACTCAAAAGAAAAAGAAAATTAAATATGTAAACATTGAGGAATTATAATAGAAAAACAAATAATATAATTAAATAATATTCTTGATACATTGAAAAACATGGTTATAGATTTAACTAAAAGTGGTGATTATATTATGTCAGGGGATTAATATCATAATAAAATTGAAGAAATTGTTTATGAGAGTGAAGATAAAAAGTAATAAAAAATTAAAGAGGCTGAAAGATTATTAAACGAAGGTATGACAAATTGAATTATAAATTAGGAATGGCATTAAGGAAGTTGAATAAATATTAAGAAGCAATTGAATGTTACAGCAAAGCAATTAACATTAATCCTAACTATGATAAAGCGTGGTATAATAAGGGTAATTGTATGTTAAATAGCATTTTTTAGGAATGGCATTATATAATTTGAATAAATATTAAGAAGCCATAGAATGTTACGACAAAGCAATCACCATTAATCCAATATATGATACTGCTTGGAGTAATAAGGGTAAATTTTAATATGATTCAGGTTATGCGCTACACCAATTATAGATATATACTGATGCAATCTCATGTTACGATTAAGCTCTTTCTATTAGTATTAATTCTATAAGATTATAACGAAAAGGTACTTAAAACTTATTTTATATTTAGCTGATTCACTATTTGAATTAGGGAAGAAATCAGAAGCTAAAAAATTTTATTTGGTTGCATTGGAACAAGGATCAAATGATAAGAATTACATTTAGAAATAACTATCAAAGTTATGAATCATTTAATCCAATAAAATATTATCTATTATAGAATATATTCAAAAAAAAAGAAAAGTTTTGTAAAACAAAACCAAAATTAATATTTTATAATTCTATAATTTTGGGAATGTTTCAGTAAATATATTCTTTTAAATTAAACTTAAGAATAATATTAAATTTACTTCTAAAGTTTTTCATCATAATA